GGGATCTCATGGAATTGAAGAGGGGTTGTCTACCGGAGACATATCAATGAACCCTGGCCTCAGTGAGCTGTCTATATTGTAAGAAGTGTGATGTCTCTGCGTGGCAGTATGGACACTGTTGGTGCTGATAGAATGCGGGAGAAAACTGAGTATGACATTGACAACAAATTAAGCAGTATCTTGTGGAGATAAAGAATAGGAATATTGAATCTGATCTCTCCAAAGAGAAATTGGAACTGGTTACAAAAGAGTGGTTGGAACAGACAGCTGTATAAAACTCCCGTGCCACTGAGGTTTATCAAAGGGTCAGAGGAGAGCAAATGGACGCGGGACATGTGAGTGAAAAGGACATCAGTCTAAGTGAGCAAGGCTTGGAAGTGCTGGAAAGCGCTATGGAATCCCTTTCTCATGTAGGTGATCAAAACGTTTCTGAGAAGGAAAACAGGGGTAGCCCTGAATCACAGGATGCGAAGTCCCCTTTGAGTACTACCACCACAGTGGCCCACACGAATAATCTGTAGATTAGCAGGCTGACATCTACTGCTTGAGTGCTGGACTTGAAGAATCTGAATAACACATCTAGCGAGATGAAGGGAGCTAAAACAGTGACAGGTGTCCAGAGCCTGGGAACTTGCCACTATGAATTTGTCCCTATTGCCCTGATGGCAGCTCACAAATCGCTGGCAATTTGACAGGCCTGGCGCTCGTTGGAGCAGGATCAGCTATGTGTCCTGCTCCAGACCAGATAAATAGAGTGCCGAGCAGAGTGGAAGATGGCGATGTCCAGGAAATTTGGGCCAAGGATAAACTCTGCTGGATCATCCTGCCTCTGCCTGGATTGATGGAACCCATCACCCAGGTAGGAGGCTGCCTCTGTTTTTCAGCATGAAAGTTGGAAAACCCTGTCACCTGCAGCAGTGACTGAAGTTTGTTTCCTGGCTAGGCAGCTGGAGGACCCTTAGTCTGCCATAGTGAAAGGCTGCTCTCTTTCCGTGCGGGTAACTAATATTTTCCTCAGTGTGGACTGTTTTGTTTCCCGGCTAGAGGCTTGAAGGGCCTTTTTTTTCTGCCACAGCTCAGGGCTGTTTATTTTTCCCAGCATCCAGCCGGAAGAGCCCCTTTTTCATAGTGCAGGGCTGTTTATTTTCTTTTCTCCCCAGCATCCTGCTGGAAGAGCCTTGTTTTTGGCTACTGTAAATTATATTGAATAAAAGTCTTATTTTTCACTCTAAACTTGGGGAGGGGTGTGTCTCTGCTCAGGGCCCGCCTAGAATCTGTGCCCCCTGTCGTGAGCTGCCCTACGTGGCATCACACATGGTAAAGTTTATTCTCACAATAAATTTGCAAATCTTCTAATTTTCTGTGGCTTAAGGCGGCATGTTTCTTTTTTTTATGTCATCCGTTGCTGAAATTAGAAACATAATCACAGAAATTATATGTTCTTCATAGACAAGGGCTGACTGTGTCCATTTGCACAGTGGTATCCAGCAACTTAAAGAGCTGGAACATTTCCTTTGGCCATGAGAGCCTCAATTAACTTTCAAGGGGTGACGAACAAGTCAGGTTCTGTGCATTTATCCTGGGGCAGAATTTATGTTTGAAAAATACATATAGGTGAAAGTAACAGATCTTCTTTTTTCATGTTAAGTTTGCAGAGCTGTGAGTCCCAGAGATCCCACTTTTTAAATGCTTTGTGTTTTAAAAGGAAAAACAGCAAATGTTTCACTTCAGGGTTTCTTGAGTTTTTAACTGTAGCTGGTTGAGGTGCCTTCTGGGTATCAAGATTGGATTGACATGAGAATTTCATATCTGCGCTATTTCAGCCAGCTGTTAGTGGGTTTCTCATTTCTCAAGCCAGTTGTGGGCTTGCATAGTGAAGGGTACCTTAGGCTTGATAGACGGCAGTAACACTTGTAGTTGGCCAGGGACCAGTGAATGTGAAATTATATAAACAAGAGCAGCATGTGATCTCCCTCCAGTGCTTAGTTGTCTTTCTGATGCTGTGGTCACATGGAGCAGGGAAAAAAGTAGCTGGCCTCACAAATGTATATTGTGCAAGACACGCATGTATTGTCTTTTTCTGTTGTTCCAATGAGTAGAAGGTTTAAAGCAGTATGCAGGGTTTATTAGCAATCAGGTACAGCAAATTATGGAGTATGTATAAAACAGAAAAAAAATGTTTTAAAAGAAGAATTGTTTGGTATCTGTCATATTATGTCTTTATTCAAGTTAATCTTCCAGTTCTCTGTAATACCTCGGATTAGCAAGAGATTTTAAGAATTTATTCTGACAGAACATCTCAAGATATCGGGTCATTCAGATGCCACGCTGATAGAAAATGTCATAAGGAGATGAGCAGATAAATGGATCTTAAGTAGGTTTAAATACAGTTTGGTAGAGTAAAGCAGTGTTAAATTTCACACTTTACAGTAACCTGTCAAAATACAGGCTGCACTCATTTATGCTGTGATGACAAGGTAACAAATACCTTAAAACAGTAACGAGTAACTATAGTGTATGCTGTCACAATACTGTTATACAATCTTTTAGTCTCCATATTTAGAGAGCAGAGAATCCATTGTTCAACAATATTCACAACATGTCTATATTATTGCAGTGGGAAATAAACAGAAATGGCAAAATATAATAAAATTATTATCCTTGATAAAATCCAGAAGATTTAATTTAAATTTCATTTGTCTAACAGAAATATTAAGAAATTAAAAATAAAATGACATAACTTACAATTTTCTCTGTTCTCCAACTATAAAGAAGCTATTTCAGAAGGTTGTGCTGGAATTCCTTGAATACAGAGACAGAGTTTAGAACTCATAGAAGTTTATATACAGTATATATATATACAGTATGATATATGTAGGGGAACAAGTAATAGGTTTATTCCATGCTGAAAAAAAGAAGAAAGAGAACACAACGTTTCGGCCGTGGACACCTGAAGAAGGCTCCAAGGCCGAAACGTTGTGTTCTCTTTCTTCTTTTTTTCAGCATGGAATAAACCTATTACTTGTTCCCCTACATATATCATACTGTATATATATATTGTATATAAACTTCTAGACAAGATATGCAGGGTAAATTTGGCGTAACTTGTCTGGCTGAGGGAATTGGCATATTTTGTCTTTTTATTTTACAACATTCAGTTAAACGTTAGATGAAATATGAAGGCAGTTCCGTCAGGGAAACAAAGTTCTCTAGTTTAAATTCACAGCTAATTCTGACTTCTTTGTTATATATGTAGGATAGTATAACTTGTACATAAAGTCTGACAGTTCCAAAGGAAAGTCAAACAAGCCCTTTCTATATCTAAAGTGGCTGATCACTGTGAATGAGTGAGATTGTACTGTATTCAAGGCACTTAATCAGTTACAGGAGTGTAGTATTTCCATAGAAATTACTCAGTTAGAACTCATAAACCTTTGCAGCTCACAGGAAGCTGTTAGCATGAATGGTTCCAGTCCTAAATCAATCCCATTGAAGCTTTGAGGATGTCTGTTTCATTTAGCTAGTGAGCTGCTATACATCTGCAGATTTGATCTCTATTTATTTAACAAAGGATTTACAGAAATTCCAAAATCAATGATTCTTCACAGCTGACTGACATTGGAGGAGGTGTCTTCCATTCAGGACTCAGCACTCTAGAAGAACACTCTTGATGGGACATCTCTGAAAAGACTTGAAACTGCAAAAAATATCTGTGGCATCGTGTGTTACAGTAGATCAGAGTACCTCTAAATGTCAAAGGATGTGGTGGCAGATCACACTGCCAGACATTTTATCTGTCAACTGATTTTTCCTGACAAAAAAGTGAAAGGCCAGATTCATAAAAAAAAAGTTATTCAATTAAGTGCAATTAAATTAAACATAAAGAGTTGCTTTGTTTTTTTTTTTAATTTTTTCCTCACTGGTACACAGAATGTCTGTCCACTACTTTGGAAGCAATGGCGTTAATTAATTAATCCTATGCATTTTCCTTCACGTAAGGAGAAACTTGCTCAATGAATGTGGTAGTCTTGTGAGACCAATTTAATTTGAAAAACCTTTCCTTTGTTTAGGTCTAGGGTTGCCTGAAAGAAAATCAGAAAGAAAGGGTTCTGCTTTACAGATGTTGCATTGTTTAGTTTTAGTTTTAAATCAGGGTTACAGTATCCCTGGATGGGCAGAAACTGCAGCTGTGAGCTCCCTTTTGTGGGTGAGCACACTTACTGTATGCCACCAAGGCATCTTCTATTTTTTGTAAAAATGATCCATTTGTTTTACAGTTGAATTTTGTTGGTTACAAGATCTTATCAAAGGTGAAAAAAAGTACTTGATCTCAGGCTTTACATCAGCAAAAGCTGGAATTCCAATAAGGTTGTGTAGATTTTTTATATCCTTTGTATTTTTGTAACATTACACCAAATGCAATGAATAATAATAATTGCCAGCCAGCTAGATCACTCTGCATCCCACTGTAGCTCGGCCTGGCCAGAACCTGGATGGGAGACATCCTGGGAAAGCTAAGGTTGCTGCTGGAAGAGGTGACAGTGGGGCCAGCATGGGGGGCTCACCCTGTGGTCTGTGTGGGTCCTAATGCCCCAGTATAGTGACGGGGACACTATATTGTAAAAAGGCACCGTCCTTCGGATGAGACATAAAACCGAGGTCCTGATTCTCTGTGGTCATTAAAAATCCAAGGGCGTTTCTCGAGAAGAGTAGGGGTGTAATCCTGGTGTCCTGGCCAGATTTCCCATTGGCCCTTACCAATCATGGCCTCCTAATAATCCCCATCTCTGAACTGGCTTCATCTGTTCTTCTCCCCACTGAGAGCTAGTGTGTGGTGAGAGGATGGGGTGCTGCACAATGGTAATGGTGGAGGAAAGTGCTATATAGTGTAAGGAATCATTATTATTATTATTTTAAAAAAATATCACACGTTTTTAGGTAATTCCCTTAATATAAAAGACATTTAGATATTGAGTTGAATAGAATTCTCTCTTTTACAGCTGTCTTTTGGGGAGATATTGCCTTAGATGAAGAAGATTTAAAAATGTTTCAGATCGACAGAACAATAGACCTCACACAGCATACCAATGAACGACTTGGCCACACATCAGGTACGTATCTGAATTCTTTCATTAGAATCTGCTCAGAACAGCAAAGATGAAAAATTGTTATAAGAGTAGAATGTTTTTAACCTTTGAATTCAAACCTGTCAACTGTAAGGGTAATGAAAAACAACACAATCCCATATCATTTTTTCATTCTGTGTTTTAAATACCGTCACAGGTTTTATTTATTCAAAGCTGAATGTGTTGCTGCTTGTTATGTTATGCTTGTTACGTTTATCTGTAAAGGTTAATTGAGTCAGTTGGATGGATGGAAGTTTAGTGGGCAGCTGTGTGGCCTGACCAGTGAAGAAGTCATCATTGTTACCATCATGGATATGTTGAGCTAGACTTTCATATCATAATATTGATTAATGATGTTATAGTAATTAGTAATTATTACTTGCTGATATTTGAAAACTGATGTTGGGTAATATTTAAAGGCTGAGTGCTTCTTTTAGTGACCCTCATTATGATTGCATTATTATTCAGATTGACTCCATATATTGATGTTTGCATTGATATTCAGTTTTTCATACTGATATCTGAATGAAGGGATAATATGTTAACATTATCATATTTTAACTCATTCTTGTCTTAAAGCCAGGCTGTGTTACACTGTCTTTAGAAATACTGTTCCCATGATATATATCACCTAAAGGGTACAGCTTAAATATGGAACAAATAAAGGTTTACTACATGCTGAAATGAGAAGAAAAGAGGCACAACGTTTCAGCTCTAGAGCTGTAGGGATATAAACACTTATAAATAGCTGGGAAAATAGTAGAGCTACATGATCACTGAATTGGCATGCCATTTTGGTTAATAAAACAAAAACAATTAAAGGCACCAGTACGATAGTATTTGAATGAAAATCTCCAATTTTAGTAGAAATACAGGGACAGAGCAATAACATATCGCAGTAACTTGTGCTTTCTAAACATGAAGCAGAATGCTCTGTTAAAGTTCAGACCTATGCCCAATAAGAGTACTTTGAATGCTTTATTAGTAAATGTGGCCAGGTCACCATCTTGGTGTATGCTAAAACATATTTTCTAAACTTGAGTTTTATCGTCCCACAAATGTTATCTTCCAAGTTTGGGACTGATTGGACCATAGGAGAATCAGTGGGCTCTATTGTATGTGAAGGAAAAAAGAGAAAGGAAACTATAATACCTAAAAGGTTCGATCTAAACAATGGCGTGGAAGTCTAGTAACAGCATGTTCCTTGTGTGGGTCACAGCAATAGCCACATGCTGATGTAACAGCAACAAACTACAATCCACTTATATAAACGAGCAAATAGAAGTTATTTTTCTTTGTACCTTTCACCATGCTAGCTTCTTCTAGTTCCTTTGTAGCCCCCTTCACTGAAGCAGTGAGTCATACCTAATTAGATAAGCAATCTTTTTAATTTGTTTATGAAGCCTAAAGGTATAGGGTGTTCTCCAAAGAAAATAATTACAGATTACAAAGGTTATTATGCTTCTTCCAAATTTAAATTAAGGGCACAGCCTTAAAAATGGTTTGTAGTCAAAACAGTAGAAATTAATTTCTGAATTAATCTTTGACTCACAATGCTCCTTTTAATGGTAGAAAAAGAAAACGTAAATTCTGAACTGAATTGCGAAAGGAAACGAACAGCCGCCAAATCCTTACTGTGGGGAAAAGTAACAAATACACACTGAGCAGGTAGAATAAATGAGTGAAATAATAATAAATAAACCACAAGATACTGGAAAGGATTTCCTTGCAGTTTAGGATTAAAGCTAAGGCATACAAAACTAAGTGTATCCCCATACCAAACAGAAAACACTCCTGATTAAAAAGAAAGACTGTATACCCATTTCTCATTTAATTACTAGGAAAATCTGAAAGCAAAGAAAATTAAAAAAATCATTGTTAATCATCAATCATTAAAGTGAGAACATGAAATAAAAAGGTTGGAATAAAACACAATACTTGGCTTTGGGAAAGAACTGAAGTCGGGCAGTCGAGGTGGTGTTGCAATACAGTTTGAGTTCTGTCCAGTAACTAGAAAACATGGTATGTAATTTTAATATCTGAAAAATTGTGATGTTTCCAGTTATGAAGGATACGCATTACTGTAGCGGTTTAGGTGGATAAAGTAAAGATTTTCCCCCCAAAATAATATAAAACATCTATATTATAATCCATAATCCTGCTCATAGTAAATTATCTGCATCAATACAGATTCGTTTTGACACTGGAGGTTAAGAGGCCATAAAATTGAAAACTGAGGAATTTGTGTGGTAGAATTTAATTTAGGTCTAAAATCTTAGCATATGCAGAATTAATACAGATAAATATTTTGCATGAATCTTAATAAGTAAAATACTCAAGCTAGCATTTAGGAAAGGATTTTTAATTTGATTAAATCTTAGTCCAAATATTTACACCTGTGCAACTTTAATTGACCTGAGGCACCAAATATCTACTGTAACTATTAAAGTTAATAAATAGCACCATCATTCTTCATACCCCCTCTTAATTTTATTAAAGAATCATCATCATAACTTTTTAAGTACTGAAAAATAATGTAAGCGATATATTTTACGTTAGATTATTTTACTCATTCTAACAGTATATTCTATTTACTGTTATAATTACCTAATTTGTCCCCATTTTAGTCTGTTGATATACTAAATTAAGGTGCAGTGACATATTTAAAGCCACCCCTGGAAAAGCAGTAAGAACTCCTCAGCTCAAGCATACCTCTGTGTGTTATAAGATCTATGAGGCCCTCACATAAAAAAAAAAGCACAAGCCTATATAGCAGAACTCAGTTGCACAGAAGTGATATTACGCTGTCGAAAACCGAGATGAAGACAGGAGGTCGAAACTTTCAGTGTTGTAGTTCGCCACTGTATAAGGATAAGGCTGTGGGTGACCAAAACGGAATTCTGGCAGGGACAATGTAGAGCGTCACTCCTCACACATAGTCAGTGTTTTATGAATATAAGAGAAAATTAAAAAAAGAGGATCTCATGCAGCCATTCCTTGAAAGAAATCTCGGTAGCTTCTTTCTGTACTTCAAATGAATGTTTTACATTGAGTCTGCAATGTGACACAAATATTAATAAAGCTGAAAACATTAAGGATATGGATATGAACAATGATTTTTCAAGTATTCTCTTTCCCCCATCAGTAACCAATTAAACAATTAATGTTGCTTTTAAATAATATAAATATTCTTCCATGAATTAATAGATTTAATTTCAGACATTTAGGGCTAGCTATAAACTGTTGTTACTTAGATATATGGGAAATACATTTTTCTCAAATTAAAAGGTTAAGAAAAGAGGAGAGGTAATTTCAACCAGTCTTACTGATTTGGTTCCAACTAGCTTATTAAGTGAAAAGCATCTTCAGGGCATTTCTTGAAGAATCCCAGAGATCAGTCCAGTGTGAGGTTTGCCCTTTCAGCAGTACTTTGTTTTCCTCAAATGCGCCTGTTATTCAGTTACATTCAAACGATACCTTGTATTCTTACAGCTTTCAGCTTTTGAAATAACGTGATATCAATTAAGATATCCTCTCCCCACTTCATATGTGGCATGAACTGGCTTAACTTGCTGTTCTGCAACATCAGGAAGCAGGCTTTTAAAATATGAAAATAAAGCAGAGAACTGAACAGCCATCTACTCCTAATATCAGCACTAAGACACTGGATATAGTGTAGCTACCACCTTGATTCTGGTTTATAGAGTTGTGTTTCGTCTCTGTTTCCCTCCTGGCTTTAACATTCCTTTCCTTCAGAGGACAGTTTGAAGAAAAGATAAATCCGGCATCAAGCCAGCAGTCCATGCGAGACATCAATAAAAGGGAAATGCAGTATTTCACGCCTCAGTTACTGGCTGACTCAGCCAACCTGGGAAGAACTTCAGCTGCCAATAATGGACCATCCTTATCCACCTCTCCGAATGCATTAAAATCGTTTAGGACTCCAGAGTGAAACTCCATGAAGTAGAAACAGAACAAAAAAAAAACCACAATGATGTTACACCAGGTCATGAAAGCCTAGCTGACAAGTTCCTCAAGTACCTTAAAGGCAGAAATCCAAGTTTTTTTTTCCCTTGGGTGGTGCACATACAATAGTTTCCAATTTACAATTTCTAATGAGAATCAGAAATTTATTAACTGTTGAAACAGGGCAACCCAAACACATGCTGCTGTATGGAGAGAATAGTGGTGTTTAGTCATACAAACGTAAGAAATGATCCAAACGAAATTGAAACTATCTGACCCATCTTGCTTCTTTACAAGTTTAGTAGCTAGTCTAAAATTTCATCCAGCCATTTCCTCAAGGAGCCCAAAGTCTGGGCCTCAACCATCTGGCTGGGGATCCTTTTTCAGATGAAACAGTCTTTTTGTTGCAGAACTGTGAAAGATGCTTTGCATCACTTTTTGCCTCCATAGAAATATTCCTTTTTCTGGAATGAGTATTACTAGTAGATTTTTCCAGCTGCACCTGTAGCTCTGTATACTGTTTATCTTTTACTCTCATGCCCTTATAAGACCATGGGCAAAAACACTTGAACTATAGTTTTATAAAAAGACAATAAAAGATAATATTATCCATTGAACCCATGGTAAGCAAATAATACAATCACAACGTGCTTCATTTTTAAAATTTTTCATAAATTAATCTTCTTTCCATTTCAGATCAAAGCACCTCACACAAGACCTCCGATATTTATATTAAGAGAGGCAGCTAAAGATTTTGGAGTATGTTGTTTAATTAATCACTTTTTGTAATAAATGAGAAATTCATGGGCAGTAAGGCGGCACAGAGGTTAGTCATGCGAGTTAGCTTTTGGTGTGCGTCAGTGCTTAAATGTGTAAAACTGCAATACAATTGCTTGGATTTGGTGCAGATACCAGTAGAAACAGAGTCATACCGAGAAGCTTCCCAGATTTGCAACCAGGACAAGGTGCATCATTTATTGCTGTTTAAAACCCCATCTCTGCATCCACACTGATGTATCTGACAACTTACAAAGATAATAAATATAAAAACAGTTTAATGACAAGGGGATCTCACATACATCATGTGGCAAAAGTTTTGACAGTATTCATATTCAGTTCATCAGTAACATGTTATATACATATTTGGGGAAAAAATACAGTTATTAGACGATACAGCTTGAAAATTAGGAACAATGAAATGTCTCACGCAGCTTTATAGATATGGTGCATAGTCTGGATGACTAGTAGTGTACAGTTATTTGGCTAAATAAATTCAAGACAGAGATAAATGAATCGTCCAATACGTATTGATCCACACTACTGAAGAGGAAGGTGGGAACAAATAAATGGGACATTTTTCCAGACCCCGTTGCATATTGAACATTTGTAAAATGTAATGCTTTATTATGCACACCTACTGTATTGTACTCTCTTGAGGAATGTTTTAATGTACAAAATACAATTTAAAAAATGTATATAATATTTTTCTTTTTACTGAATTAATCTCTTCCTGAGGTTAAATAATGTTGATACCAATTTTGTTTACCTTTGTAATAAAATGTATGCAGCTATCTTTTTAACATCTTTTTATCCTTTTCTTTCAAGGTGGCTTAGGAGAGCATGAAATATTTAAGAAAAAAGGGAAACTCTATCAGCTTATAGACAGGATAAGAAGATTAAACAATGGTATGTACTTCAACTATTTCAAAAACACGGAAAGTCTAACATTGTGTTGAAGCAATTAAACCTTAATATTCAGAATTTTAGATTTGTTATCTTTGCTTAATATGATACTGTCATTTGCAAAAGTGCTGACTTTTGCTGACTTCAATATATACGTATACTATAGTAACGTATTAATACATTAAAATAACATTATGTTTTATTTATTGTTTCAAAAATGTTACATCCCACAATCCTACGGTTTGTCCCCCGTGTTTTTCTTAAGTCTAAATTTCCTGTGTGATTTCCGCAGTACAGGGTAAAGTTTGCCTTGATCAATTCAACGGGTTTCAATTTAAAAAAAAGTAATGATCTTTTTCTGATTGCAAACAATACAAGAGACAACGAAAGTATTTCTCAATTGCTGTTTAGACAGTGGACGAAAAAACACCTCCAGGGAAACAGGGAACAAAAAATCTCCAGGGAAAAATGAGAAAAGCCGAGTTCCTAGAGCTGCCACTTCAAGACCTGAGAGAATATGGCCTGGAGGCGTCATTCCATATGTTATTGGAGGCAATTTCACTGGTGAGATATTCTGCTTTTGCTTACTTAGAGGTTAAACATCTAATTGCAGAACACAAACAAGGAATATCTTATTCTAATGATAAAATGATTCCTAAAATAAGTTCTTGATTTGGTCACTTTAGACCATTCCATATTATGCATTTTAAATAGCTGGCTCTAGTTACCTGGAGACCAGGGTCCTTGCAGATACATGCAGAAAACCAGACTTCTAGCACTGCAATCCTGGCCTCAGGCCTGCTTTGGAATCATTCCTCGTAAATGGGGATAGAGCAGTTCGCTCTGACAGTTCATATTAACATGTCCAATTCATTTCTGAGTAGAGCTGGATGAAATGTGAATAAACTAATCCACACTTCAGTTATGGCATGAATAAATTTAGTAAGTGCGCAACACAAGCAAATTTGTAGTATAAGACAGCTATTTTTTCATTTCTTGATAAAATACGATAGTCCTTTTTTCCCCCTATATGGGAAATCACAGTAAATGATATAGATGTGTGCCAGTACATTTTAGCCATCTAATCCCATTTCCTAGAAATTATTCTTTGATGTATCTGCTATGTTACTGTATAGGTCTGCATTTGAGGAGAACAAAGATATAGAGGTTGAATATTACAAATAAAATCATTGCCAGATGCGCACACACTGAGGATATAACTGAGGATATATTTTATATTTTGGAATTTGACATTGGCATCTCTTGGAATGAACATTCTGACATCATGATGCCATCATCTACAGAGGTTTACTGTAGTAGAGTCTAGTGCACTGCGGTTGCATTTCTGTTTAACATGCCAAAGGACTTGTTTGAAACATCCTGAAACAAATGTTTTTTTTTAATCATTTAAACGTTGTTCACAATGTCAAAATCTCGTTTTAGTTTTTAGTCATTTATTTGTGCACTGCAGTTCAATCTTCCCCTAAAACTACATTAATTACAGGTAATTTGATATTGGGGATAGATAAATCAATCTATTATTTTGGAAAAACTTTAAGAATGTCCAGGGATATTGGCCAGAGAAGAGAAATCAATCATATTTATGTTCTTACATGGAATTTACAAAACAGTACTTAAAATTAATTAATGATTAAAATCATGTAATACGACAGATTATGTTTTTTATTCGGCAAGCTAAGAAAAACTGTTTTTAAAATATTTTGCAGAATTCTACTAAGATGTTCTACTATACAAAAATACATGTATTTTAATCTTATTTCCCCCTTTCTTTATTAACTAGTTAACTGGTAAAAGAGACAATTGAAGCTAAAGGACATCTTTTTTAAGTTGTCTGCCTGTCAGAGTAGTAAAGAATATATTTTTTGGTTTCTCATTATGTGTGTAAATGAAACAATTGTTGACATTTCTCATAAATAGGTAAAATAGTATAATGCTAATTGACAAGGTAGAATTAAATGCTAATCTATTATTTGCTAGACGGTGTGAAATTCTGTCATATTATGATGGTTTTGTACTAATACAGGCTCTCAGTCTATGTTTAAAAGTTTGATGAATGTTAAGTTTGGATGTCATAGTGAGGAATGTGGCTCAGATTTTTTACTGTTCTAATTAGTGTTCTGATTTCTTCAGGCAGTCAGCGAGCTATGTTCAAACAGGCCATGAGACATTGGGAGAAACACACTTGTGTTACTTTCATTGAGCGGACTGACGAGGAGAGTTACATTGTCTTCACATATAGGCCCTGTGGGTAAGTTTGGTGTGATCTGAAGAGGAAAAAATGTATTCCATTTGCACCGTGAGCTGCTCTCTGTGTCTTTGTAAAGTCATTAAGCAGGCCAGGTAATCAGGTTACTGAGAGGCAGTGCTTTTGCAGATTAAAATCTTTGCTTTTCAGCACACAGACATTTCTGTAATTGAAACCATTGAGATATCTGTAAAGTGACCTTCTGCTATATAGACTTTTAATGATAGACCCAGGGTTTAATAATCTATTTAAATGTAAATTTATATCATATAAAAGAAAGACATTTGTTCAGATAGCCCTTTGAACATATGCTACTTTTCAAAGAAGCTCTGCTTCTCTAATCCAGACTTAATTACCATGGAGGTGGGCTAGTTGTGTTTAGAGCTCTTCTTCCTTATTTATGGAGATAGACTGAGTACACAGAAAGACACCCATAGTTTGTTGTTGGGTGAAGATGGCCATTCTAATAGATTTGTGAACCTTTATTTTTAATTGCTGACCCCCATAGCCACAGAATAAGATTATGAAAATAATACAAATATTTCTGCCTTTCCCTTTGGTAGGTTATTGATTTTTGATCCATACTTGAAGTTTGATACTTGAAGCTTTTTATTTCTATTGCTGCGTTAGTAAAATGATTTAAAGACATTTTCAGCCAGGTCAGAAGATGATTTGTAATAAAAAACTGAGCAAAAAGCAAATATTTTTTCATCACTCTTCAAAGGAATCTATGTAGTACTACAGTCAAAAGTGAGAATTCCAGCTAACAGAGAGGAAATGCCACATGTACATGAAACCCTTTCCTTATAAAAAGATTCAGTTCACCTAACTAAAAAAAACTCATCAGCATGTTTAAATGGCTACTCTCTTTCCACTAGCGTGTTGAATACCCAGTATTCAAACTGTGTTCCAGCCATACACAGAGCACTTTTAGAAGGTTGATGCTTAGATGGTCCTCCAATAATAGTAATACATAATACGCAATAAGCAATTTAATTACAAATTTGAAATATAATACACAGTGGTGCAGTGGTGAGCATTTCTGCCTTGCAGCACTAGGGCCCTAGGTTCAATTCCAGCACAATTACTGTACATGGAGTTTGTGTGTTCACCCCGTGTTTGCATGGGTTTCCTCTCACAGGTCAAGGACATACTGTACTGGTTAGTTGGCTGGCTTCTGGGAAAAGTGGTGTGCATGTTTGTGTCTGGGTGCATCCTACCTTGTGCCTGTTGCTTGCCAGGATAGGCTTCAGTTTCCCTACTGCCTTGTATGCATAAAGTTTTTATAAAAATGGATGGAAGTATTATACTGAATCTACTGGAATATATTGCATCGCAATTTAAGTGTAGTAGATCAGGACTGATAGTGATGTATGGCCATATTGGTTTAATCAGAAACCTTTTGATCGGTATATATTTTCAATTCCAAAGAATTGCCAGGCAAGCACTTGGTGTGAAATCTAAAGCTTTTTCTTCACAAAACGTGTAGTAATGAAATGGTTTACTACTGATCTACATTTATTTATATCACATCTTGTGCAACATCTTGTAAAAGCTTTGAAATGGGCTCCTTCACATGGACTTGATTTCCAATATCGTAATGTACAGTCTCATAAGCGACTGAAATTAAAGTAACTTCAAAATAATAATGTAGGAGATAGTGCCCACCACCTTTATGAAACTCATTGCCATATACTAAGCTTCCTGAGCTATCATTGACAATTCAGAACAGATTAGGGAGAATTAATCTTACATATAAATAGATACCACCCTAAACTAGTGTCTGTAGCAATGGAGATTATGTGGATCAGTAATCTTAGGCAATGCTTTCCTCAGGAGTGCAGGCAGAGTTCACTTTCAAAATGGCCTTAAGGGTGGCAAACAAGCAATTATCAGCTGAGGGAGGTTTTGCTATATTACAAAATAAACTTTAGTGGAAATCTGTTAAAAGAAAGCAGATGAGGAATTCAAAGTGTGATATCATTTAGATGTTAATGTGCTCTCAAACTCAAAGGGTGATAATTTGCTTCAATATTTAAATTGTGACTTTCAAGAATTGCGTCCTTTTTAAAATAAAATATTTGGTATTGTTAATTATTTTCTTAGTGACTCAGTGTTATTTCATTTTGCTGTGCTGTTTAGATCCTTAACACAACTGGTCTCTAGCAAAGTCTCATGAGAGATCGCTTTTTTTATGCCATGAATATTCAAAGCAAGACCATGTAAAATGTGCCTGGCAAGCAGTCAAGAAACAACTGCTTTTCACCATAAAACTACCACTGAAATTTAAAGTGATTGGACCTGCTTCACTTTGAAGGTTTCTATAAGCAAAAATGCCAGTTTAATGGGTCGGAATTTGGTCACAGGAACTATGGGTCCAAGAAGGTATGCAGAAAAATAACCTCTCCTGTCTTTGCCTGGCAGATGCTGTTCCTATGTAGGGCGACGAGGAAATGGTCCACAAGCCATATCCATTGGCAAGAACTGTGACAAGTTTGGGATTGTCGTTCACGAACTGGGACATGTGATAGGCTTTTGGCATGAGCATACAAGACCAGACCGAGATGATCATGTGACCATTATAAGAGAAAATATCCAGCCAGGTGAGATCCCACAAATGTACCCGCTCTGAGCAACTTTTAATTATTTTGAACTTTGTGTAGACCTTTTGTCAGAACTAATTATTGTACCAATTACCATACTCCTAAAATTGAAACCAGATTATTTTTCAACAAATAAACACTTCACCTTTTAAGACTATTTGTCTTTTCTTCAGTTATCGGGAATATTACAAATAATGTTTTTTGCTAGTTTTGTGTTTTTGCAACTATTTAAGATTTATTTTGTAATTATTCTTCCCTGCTCTCTTTTGCAAGTAATTCATCATAGTCATAGGCAATATACCAAGACGTTTTACTTGTACTTTAGATCTTAGAAGTTTTGCTAACATTTCAGTTTCCACTGCATGCCTCACTGTAGTAAATCGACTGAAATTACCTCTGATCTGAGGATACAAACTTAGAAGTGAATAAACATTTGCACTGAAAATCCAGTGATAATTTATGAGCCTGAAAAAAGAGCATATTCATCATATAGGAACAAGTAATAGGTTTATTTCATGCTGAAAAGAGAGGAGCGAAAACACAACGTTTCGTCCGTGGAGCCTTCTTAAGGGCTCACACCTGAAGAAGGCTCCACAGCCGAAACGTGTTTTCTTTCATCTCTTTTCAGGATGGAATAAACCTATTACTTATTATATAGTTCGTTATGTTATATAGTGCATTACAAAATAGAATTAATGAAAAATATTTAATGACAAATAAATCACCAGCTCTAAATAATCAGCAGAAACACTATTGCAATTGTAGGAAAAGTTTTCAAATTAAAATAAAAATTTTAAAATTTAAAATTATTTTCTCTGATTTTATCCTCACATTGACTGGATTGCCCTGCTTCAAAGCATCATTGTTTGCAATTCCTTTCAGGTCAGGAATACAATTTTCTAAAGATGGAACCTGGAGAAGTGAATTCTCTTGGAGAGTCGTATGACTTTGACAGCATTATGCACTATGCCAGGAACACCTTTTCAAGGTTGGAGTCTAAGGTTACCCATCTATGAGTTTTCGTTTGAATTATTTTATTTTGTGTGTGTGTGTGTGGGGGTGTGTGTGCTTGCTTGAATTCTGTTGAATAAGGTCATCCATAATATAGTAGGAGAATGTTTTCCTGTTAGTAGGCTCTGATCTGCTGCGTAGCAGGGCTGCCTGCACAAAGTGATGCCACACATCATTCTGGTGAGTGCTGGACTTCAATGAAGAATAAAGTTTGTTCCATACTGTATGTAGAGATCTGGAGTCCTTTAGAATGAAAAGTTTGATTTTAACGCAAGGAACTCGCATTAAATGTGGTGATTATTTATTAATTTGTGTGGTGAAATATTTAATGCATTTCAAGATTTATTCAAAAATATTTTTTTCTGTTAATATGGGTATGATCTTAGCTAATTTTACTGGTCCTTCTAAGAAAAATGAAATTTTCTATGAATTAGAAATACATAAATGGAGATACACAAGTCATTAAAAGTAATACAAGATGTACATCTTTCATTCCCACTTTGCACCAGATTGCAGATACTGTCTTGTGTCATTCTTTTCCATTTGTAAAGCTTGAACAAGAGAGTGTCTTTCACTGTTCTCCAAGTCCTGTGTGCCTACATGGTGTGTGCAGTGGGGCTTAGGACTGGCGTGCAGGTCATTCGTGGTGTAGGGGTCATTGCATTTCACAAGAAAGATTTTATCACACTAGAAGCCATTGCTTTAACAACAGCACGAGGATATGCCTTTTCCTGCTAGAATGCTTGTGGTTCAGGATGAGGAAGTACACAGGAAGTGCAGCAAGTAAGGTCCCATAACGTGATCAATGTAGTGCAGTGCTCTCAGACTGCCATTAATCACAGTGAGTGGAGCTCTGTAACAACAAGACACCCCTCTCCAAAGTATTAAACTTGGTCTTCCCCATCAGTCTTAATGAGGTGTCACGGTTCTTGATCTTAGTGATTGTGGCCTGTCACTAATGGATTGTGCTTAGCTGTAACGTCTTGTCAGGTTAGAAACGTTTGGCAATGAATACCCCAGCTGGTGAGCAACAGTGCCCTGACTTAGTTAATCAGTGTTGCTCCCTTGATTTGCAAGGCAGATTGGTTCCATTTTGTGTTATTTTTTCCTGAATTCTTCAAAGCTTGACATTCAAGAAGATAAATCAGTTCAACCCTGCCCCATTGAATCTTTCACTAATGAGCTGTCATAATGCTTATTCAGTC